AAAGAAAATAAAAGGTGAAAAAAGGCTAGATGAGTGTGGAGACCAGGTGGATGTTTAAACTTAGTTCCTCTGACTTTCATTTAAAAAAAAAAAAGAAAGAAAATAAGACTAGACTTCATCATGCTGCTGTACTAAACTAGTCTGATGATTTGTTTGTGTCATCTTGTTTTAAAGGGGTGCTATTATGCTTTTTCACTTTTTGAATTTTAGTCAGTGTGTAGTGTGTATGTTTGGGTATAAAAAAAACTACAGCGTTGTTTTCCAGGTTTTGTGATGTCACAAAGGTGCCCATTAGAATATCATTCAAATAATTCCCACCTACGGAAATTCGAATGGTTGGGGGGTGGCTTGTTTTAAAGGGGTGCTATTATGCTTTTTCACTTTTTGAATTTTAGTCAGTGTGTAGTGTGTATGTTTGGGTATAAAAAAAACTACAGCGTTGTTTTCCAGGTTTTGTGATGTCACAAAGGTGCCCATTAGAATATCATTCAAATAATTCCCACCTACGGAAATTCGAATGGTTGGGGGGTCGGGAGGGGCGAGGTCGTGGTTAGAACGCTTGGTTGAGTGCGTCAGACAAGAAAACGAAGAAGAAGAAGAGCTGCTGTAGCATCAAGTTTTCGCCATGTCCGTCCATATCTGTGCATGCAAAGGTTCTGCACGATCCTCTTGTTCAATATTCTCGGGGTCTGAATCTGGCACAAATTGATATGGCAATATTGATGACATCCTTAACTATACCGGAGCAGACGGAACTTGCTGCTTTGGCAAGGGGCGTGGCAGTACTGAAACACCGTCTAAGCTGTTCGCCAATCACAATGCACTGGGACAGCTAACCAATCACAACACATTTAATTTTTCGGGTGGCGGGCCTTCATCAAACCCGGAACTAATCGAGCCGTTTGTGCCAGGCTGGGGAGAAAGGTATTTTAATAATGTAAATTATGTGAAAAATAATGCGTTTTTCAAACCACCAAGCATGAGAGCATGTTCTAGTACACCCCCAAAACAAAATCAAGACTTTGTAAGAGAGCATAATAGGACCCCTTTAAACTCTGCTGGTTGACCAACCCTCACAGGTGTTTTGATCAGTGACATTGTCTATAGTTCAGAGTAACCATGTTCTCCTCCCCTCACATTAATAAACATTCTGTTTTATTAGTCACATTGTTCATTCAGTTTCCCACTTTTCCATATTATAATTCAGTCCTGCTTTTTATAATCAGCAGAAATTATGTTTTATTAACAAAGTTCAGGAGGAGCACGTTCAGATAATTAACCCAGCCAATTCATCATCAGCAATTACACCATCTATCCTATCAGCTCAAGAGAGAACTTCTATAAAGCCATCTTACCTTCATTCTCTCTACAGTATTTCAGCATTCGGTTCGCTCATTTTGCCTTTTTATCATAGACCCAATTATTTCCTGTCCAACAACGAGACCGATTCTGGGGATTTTTCAGATCCTCCGCCGCAATTTGCCAGCCTCATGATCACTCCTTCTCCGCCAGACACGGCCGCCGAGCACCTCGACCAGCCACACACTCTCCACGACGCCGAGGCTTAACCTCGCCTTAACCTCGCCTTAACCTCGCCTCCACTGGTGGGACTTCCAACTTCCCCGGCATCCTCGTATCATTCGGCCGTACCAGCAACTCCTCAGATCGGAAAGTGGACAGTATTTAAGTCCGATGCAAACGTTGATTAATTCCAACGCACCGTTATCGCGGAGGGTAAACAAAGCGGATCTGTACAATCTATTCGTCACCCTGCAAATTAGCTAACCTCACTCCTAAATCCACTGCAAAGCCCAGAGCTCGCCTCACTCGACACCACCATCGTCCCAGACAAGACCCGGCTCTCCTCAAGCGCTGGGTCGCTGCAGCAGCAGGCCTTCAACGAGCCTGGGCCGCATCCCAGTTCTCACCGCAGCAGCATCACTTGCTTCCCGCTTCGGCTCAGCCTTTCAACGCGGCTCTTCCGGCCGCAGCACTGTATGCAGCCAGGCCTCCAGCTCTCGTAGCAGATGCCAGCTCGAGGCTACCTTCGCTAGCAGCGCAGGCCATGTTGCAAATTAATTAATTTTCAGGTGAAGTCACTAAAAGCAGGTTTCATGGCTAAAGTTTGTTAATGCAATATGCGTCACATGACTAAACATGCGTCATCATTTTCAAAAGCCTCTGTTTCCACAGTCCATTCTACAATGTGAAAACAGCATTTAAAATTTATTCGCTCTGGAGAGCATTTCAAAAGCTCTGTTTTCCTGGACTCTTTGTCTTAGTGGAGAGGAAAAAATGCGTTTTCAACGGAAACATATTAATGTGTACAAGGCTTGAGGAATTGCCAAATCTAGCAACAAATTGCTAAGTTGGCAAGACTGCAGGCTACCCAGGCATTTCAGATTGTCCCGCCAAATGTCACTAACCCATCCACTTTCCCGCGGCCTACAGCTACAGCAGCCGAAGCAAGCATCTCAGTCTTTCCCTCCTGTTGCTTCTAACCCCCTTTTTCCTTTCAGTGGCCTCAAGCTCCCATAGCAGACGCTATCGTGAGGCTGCCTCAGCTAGCGGCACAGGCTACACAGGCTTTTCAGGATGTCACGAACCCCGCTTACTTCCCGTGGCCTAGAGGCTACCTCTGCCAGCAACACAGGCCCACACATCTCAGTCTTTTCCTCCCATTACTAATAACCCTTTTTGTCTTTGCAGTGGCCACCAGCTCCCATAGCAAACCAAAAATTTAAACATGTTATCAGAGGCTATCTGCTGGATTCTCTCCAATATATATATATATATATATAAACCCTTCTAGATGCGTCCCTCAGTTCTATTCTCCAGGCCGTCTCTCCCAGGACCCTCCAATCTTACTTAACTGCTTGGAATTGTTTACATTTTTTTTACCATGCTTACAACCTGCCTTTCCACAATTTTTCCCAGCTCACCATCACCTCATTCATCTCCCATCTCAAGGCCAACAAAAAACTCCAAGCCAGCTCCATCAAAGGCTACCTAAGCGGAATTCAATTTTTCCACAAGCTCATGTTCTGCTCACCCTCCCCAGAAATAGCCAGCTCACAGACATCCATGCTCATCAAAGGCATCCAAAGAGCCCAACCCAACTGCCCAGACGCTAGACAGCCAATAACTCTAGATAGATTAACAAAATGCATTTCCACCCTCCGCAGAAGCGATGCCATGTTCATATTGGCCGCCTTCGGTTTCCTCAGATGCTCGGAACTCACCATCATGTCCTGCTTCAATCCAAAAATCCACCCAACCTTTTCAGACCTATCAGTGCTAGATACCGAATCAATCTCTTATTCATTAAGCAAGCAAGACAGACCAACTGAAAAGAGGCCACTTCATTATATCTTCAATCTCCAGTCACCAATCCAACCATACCAAACCCTCCTAGCCTACCTGCATTACAGAGGCCCGCAGGCTAACTCCCATCTGACCCACATTTGTTGACAAATCGAATTGCCCCGCCAGACGTTCTGGTTCCAAAAGCACCAAGTCCATTCTACTGCTATCTGGCATCCCAGCAGATCATTATTGCAGCCACTCCTTCCGCATAGGCGCAGCTACCACAGCTGCCCAAAAAGGCCTCTCCCAGCCTCCGATCTAGGCACTCGGCCACTGGACGTTAGAGGCCTTCAAGACCTACATTCGGTCAGTCTGCTTCCATATCAAAGAAGCTCACCGAACCATCATCAGCTGAGCCCTTTAACATCAGCTAATTTCCACAGCAACAGTGCCCGCTTCCGCAGAAGCCACATTCCCTTTTCAGATTCCAAAGCAGTGGCCGCTTCCGCAGAAGCCACATTCTCTTTTCAGATGCCACAGCAGTGCCCACTTCCGCAGAAGCCACATTCTCTCTTCAAATGCCACAGCGGTACCCAGGAGCCAAAGTTTCTTTTCAGATATCACAGAAGTGCCCGCTCCTGCAGGAGCCTGTATCTCTACTTCCCTCTGCCGCAGCAGTGCCTGCTCCCGCAGGAGCCTGTATCTCTACTTCCCACTGCCGCAGCAGTGCCCGCTTCCACAGAAGCCACATTCTCTTTTCAGATGCCGTAGCAGTACCTGCTTCCGCAGAAGCCTCTTTCTCTTTTCAGATACCGCAGCAGTACTCTCTCCCGCAGGAGCCCGCATCTTTACTTCCCACTGCCGCAGCAGTGCTTGCTTCTGCAGAAGCCTAAGTATATCTTTACTTCCAACTGCCGCAGCAGTGCTCGCTTCCGCAGAAGCCACATTCTCTTTTCAGATGTCACAGCAGTGCCTGCTTCCGCAGAAGCCACATTCTCTTTCAGATGCCGCAGCAGTGCCCGCTTCCGTAGAAGCCACATTCTCTTTCAGATGCTGCAGCAGTGCCCACTTCCGTAGAAGCCACATTCTCTTTTCAGATGCCCGCAGCAGTGGCCGCTTCTGCAGAAGCCACATTCTCTTTCAGATGCCCACGCCAAATACGCATACCATTCATTCTGCTTTGTTATCTGTAAGGCGAACTCGTGAAATGATTCATGTCAACATTTGGGAAATTACTTCGCAATCACAAATAAACCAAACAGTCATAATCATTTTGATCACAATGAGTAATCCCTGCCTTAATGTGCTTCTGCCTAACTGAATATTTGCTTAACTGGACACTTTTCTATTCTTTTAAAGTCAAATTCAATGGCAGAGATCAAACTCACCGGAGCACAGCTGTGTGTCCATGAAGAGTGAAGCGTCTATGGGAAAGTCAGTAATATTTAATGGGAAAAGCAAATCAAATCTGAGGTACAACATTTCTAGATTTAGCCTAGATAGAAAGATTGATTACTTTTTCAACTTGCCCCAAATGTTGAATATGTGAGACCATCCATGCTTCTGCTACATACATATCAGTGTATCCACACCAGCCAGGGGATGAATGACATCACTAGATTAGCAGGTGTTACTTTACATCACTGTCAATTTTACCTCTTTAATTTGTTGTAATCTTTTTTTTAATCTTTCAGTCATGACTCTCAACTGGTCCAAAGCACATTCAAATCAAATCTGCTGAAGAAGTGTCAGTGTCTGTATGAAGGAACAGCAGAGCAGGGAAACCCAACACTCCTGAATGAGATCTACACAGAGCTCTACATCACAGAGAGTGAAAGTGGAGAGATCAATAATGAGCATGAGGTGAGACAGATTGAGACACAATCCAGGAGAGCAGCAACAGAAGACACACCAATCAAATGCAGTGACATCTTCAGACCTTTACCTGGACAAGACAAAGCCATCAGAACTGTGCTGACAAAGGGAGTCGCTGGCATTGGGAAAACGGTCTCTGTGCAGAAGTTCATTGTGGACTGGGCTGAAGAGAAAGAGAATCAGGATGTCCAGCTCATGTTTCCACTTCCTTTCAGAGAGCTCAACTTGATGAGGGACAAAACACTCAGTCTTTCAGATCTTCTTCATATCTTTTTCCCTGAAACTAAACAAATGGAAATATCCGGAGATGAATATAAAGTGTTGTTCATCTTTGATGGTCTGGATGAGTGTTGTCTGTCTCTGGATTTTCAGAGTGATGTGAGGTTGTGTGATATGAGTGAATCAGCCTCAGTGGACGTGCTGCTGATAAACCTCATTGTGGGGAATCTGCTTCCCTCTGCTCTCATCTGGATCACCTCCAGACCAGCAGCAGATGAAGTCATTCCCTCTGAGTGTGTCCATCGAGTGACAGAGTTACGAGGCTTCAATGAGCCACAGAAGAAGGAATACTTCAGGAAGAGAATCAGTGATCAGAGTCTGGCCAATAGAATCATCTCTCACCTGAAGTCATCAAGGAGCCTCCACATCATGTGCCACATCCCAGTGTTCTGCTGGATCTCAGCCACTGTTCTAGAGAAGATGTTGAGTGAAGCAGAGACTGGAGAGATTCCCAAGACTCTCACTCAAATGTACACACACTTCCTGCTCATTCAGACCAACATCAAACATGAGAAGGACTATGAGAATAAAGTCAGAGATGAAGTCAAAGATGAAGACATGATTGTCAAACTGGGGAAACTGGCCTTTCAGCAGCTTTTGAAAGGCAACCTGATCTTCTATGAGGAAGACCTGAAAGAGTGTGGCATTGATGTGACAGAAGCATCAGTGTACTCAGGATTGTGCACTCAGGTCTTCAGAGAGGAGTTTGGCTTGAATCAGGGGAAAGTATTCTGCTTTGTTCATCTGAGCATCCAGGAACATCTAGCAGCTTTATATGCACACCGCTCCTTTATAAATGACGACATCAATGTATTTGTCCAAACCAAACAAAGACTCTTCTCCAAAGCTTTAGACCAGAAGAAATATAATTCAATATATCACCTGCATAGGACAACTGTGATTAATGCCTTAAAGAATGAGAATGGACATCTGGACCTTTTCCTGCGTTTTCTTCTGGGTCTCTCATTGGAGTCCAATCAGACTCTCTTACGAGAACTACTGACACAGACAGGAAGCTGCTTCTACAACAAAGAGGAAACAATTCGGTACATCAAACAGAAGATCAGGCAGAATCGCTCCCCAGAGAGATCCATCAATCTGTTCCACTGTCTGAATGAACTGGGTGATCTTTCACTGATGCAGGAGATCCAACATTATCTGAAATCTGGAAAAATAAGAGATGCCAAACTCTCCTCTTCACAGTGGTCAGCTCTGGTTTATGTGTTGCTGACATCAGAGCAGAAGATGGATGTTTTTGATCTAAAATGGTTTATTGGAGCTCAAAATACAGCGAATGAAGTTCTTCAGAAGCTGCTGCCTGTGGTTAAAGAATCCAGATCAGTTCAGTAAGTCACACTGACAACAATCACTACACTGATAAAACATGATCACATCAGGGATGTACCTCGGGGGCAGGGGCTCAAATGTAAAAAGGGGCATTTATATATGGAGTAATTCCAGTTGAACAATTACTAAAGTAAAATTAAACATTCACGTAAATAAAAATAAAGTCATTCATGTGTTTTTGAACTTGAACTGCTTACACTTTACATAATAGGCCTGTTGGTGGCACTTGGGCTTCATTTAACCAATAATGATAGTTTCATCAAATGGTACGCGTTATATCAATATGCAGTATGTAAACACTACTTACAATTAATGCGACAACTTCTACTTTATCATTTTCAGTAGATCGCAGTCTGAGGGCACCTAGGTCGGACCGAAAGGGCACTTTAGCGTTGGCAATTAAAGGGCCAGGGGCTGTTTGTCAGTTCTTGTGTTTTCTGTAGATGCTTGTGTTCCTTGTTCCCAGCTCATAGTTTCTTGTTCTCTTGTGTCCCTGTGTTTTGTTAGTTATTTCATTTGTTATTAAACTCAGCTTGCATGTGGATCCGCCTCATCTCACCTCCTAGCATTACAATGGTATAACAGAAAGCTGTTATTTTTAACATTTAAAAGGCTTTGAAAAGTATAACAACTTTTAATTTAAGTGAACTTAAAACAATCTTCATATAAACTATAAATTGTATATGCATAAACTATAAATTAAATATAAATTCATCTTTTTTCAAGCTACAAAAGTTAAGCAATGAAGAGCAGTGAGTGATTTCTCTTGATGTCATTGACATCAATGACAGACTGCAGAAGGTTTCACTTTAAAAGCAGTGCTGTCTCTTTAAAACCTGACGCACGTCAGACACACAATGACATCCAATTTTCTCCCAACTCTTTATGGTCATTTATGACTTTTCAACTACTTCCAGGGATATTTCACCCAAAAATGAAAATTCTGTCATTAATTACTCACTGTCATGTCATTCCAAACCCGTAAGACCTTCTTCATCCTCAGAACACAAATTAAGATATTTTTGATTAAATCCGAGAGCTTTCTGACCCTCCACAGACAGCATTGCAACTGAAATGTTTCCAGGCACAGAAACATAGTAAGGACATCATTAAAATAGTCCTTGTGACTTAGGGCTGCACGATTAATCGAATGTGATTGTCATGCGTATCTTGTCAGTAAAGCTGGTTCTGTGATTAGTAGTAAATCTCCAGTACATGCTTTCAGATGGAGCAGCATTTACTACACAGAGCCGTAGTTCACTGACAAGCTACGCAAAATCGCGTTCATAATCGCAGACGATTTAATTGCGCGATTATGAAATAGAAGAAATCGTTCTGCGGCTATGAAAGCTGTTTGCGTAGCTTGTCAGTGAACTTCGGCTCTGTGTAGTAAATGCTGCTCCATCTGAAAGCACGTGAAAATACCAAATTTAATAAAGTTTTTACTCCAAACTCACTTCATAACGTAAGTCGAGTGTTTGTAATAAATCCTTCTGTGAGATGATGTGGCTTCTTACACAAAACAAGGCACGCAACATATTTCATAGTATTCTAAGCAGTGATAAAGGCTATGTCGATTAGCATTGTATTTTTATATACTTTATTATAATAAGATGAACTCAGATAAACCATATATTGTCGTAGTCGTGTGTTTATTAGTCACATTGAATTAATGAAAGCAGTTGAATCTTCTGTTTATTCAGCTGCATCAATAGGCATTTTCTGGGTTTCTTCTGCAAGGCGTATTTGGAGTTTCCACGCGAGAGCGCCCTCTGGCCTTCGGATGGAGATTTACTACTGATCACAGAACCGTGCTTCACTGAAAGATACGCATGAAAATCGCAGCTTCTGCGTAATCGCGATTTATCGCCTTTGCGATTTAATTTCGATTTATCGTGCAGCCCTACGTGACATCAGTGGTTCCACTGTAATTTTATGAAGCTACGAGAATACTTTTTGTATGCAAAGAAAACAAAAATAACGACATTATTCAACAATTCTTCTCCCTCGAGTTACCGTCTTCTGCCATTATCAAGAGACGTTTCTGGGCATGGGAACGTTTCAGTTGCATTGATGTCTATGCAGGGTCAGAAAGCTCTCAGATTTCATCAAAAATATCTTAATTTGTGTTCTGATGATGAACGGAGGTCTTATGGGTTTGGAACGACATGAGGGTGAGTAATTAATGACAGAATTTTCATTTTTGGGGGAACTAACCCTTTCATTGTTGTCACAGGAATCTCTGGGTTCCTTCAGATGCAGACTTTTACAAGAAAGGTCTTCCAGGAACCACTTAAATGTTTACAGATCTTACAGTAACCCCTTTTTAAAATAAATAAATTGTGTTCTTCCAATAACCCCCAAAGCACTCCAAGGTCTCAGTGTAATGAAATGGTGACTCCATAATCTCAGAACTGGAAACAAAATGCTTCAAACTTTTGTTCCCATGAGTTGCTGAAAGAACTTCGAAGACTGTAATGGTTTCTCCAGGAACCCTATTATGAGAAAAAGAACGACATTAAAATACATTTTGAAGTTCCTTGAGTACTCAAAGGGATATTTAAGGCACCTTTAGTTTTTACAGTGTATGGAGAGTCCCCGTAAACCATAAAAACCAATGTGTGTGTGTGTGTGAGAGAGAGAGAGAGAGAGAGAGAGAGCACATTTCAGCTTATGAATGGTGTTTTGTGTTGTAAGTGTTTGTTGCACATTTTGATGCCTTGATGACAGTTTCAGGGGCTCCCACTTAAAGCACTGTGGCTCAAGGCCTGCCATTTTCACCATCATGATGGATGATAGCGTTTGGTCCAGAGCCAAACTGTTCCTAATTTTGGTTTTGTTCAAACCCACCATGGAGAACACTCTCTCTGCATCTGCATTTGAGTGGGGAAGCCACAGTGCTTTAAGTGGGAGCCCCCACCCTTGCCATCAAGGCATCAAAATGTGCAACAAAAACTTACAACAGAAAAAAAGCATTCATAAGCTGAAATGTGTAATTGTTAGGGGCCAAATTTCTTTTTTATTATTTTTGATACATTTGTATTTTTGAAATATATAAAAATTTATTTTATTTGGAAAAATTTGTCTTTTATCAGATTTACCAAATGTTATAACATCTCTAGTCCTTTCCTTAGTTTCAGGAAGCCAAAGCTAAGTTAAAGCTTCTGGTTGCAAAGCAGTTGGAGAGTTTCTGACTCTATCAATAATAATTTAGAAGGAATGTGGCTATATTCCCCAACATCAGCTCTCACTATCTTTGATCACAGGCAAGTGATTTTGTCCAGGAATCGTAAAATCTTAATCTCAGGAATCAAAATGTTTTAAAAAAATAAACAAAAAAATTAAGGGTTACAGCATTCATTGGATCTTGCTCTTCCAACTTACACTCTACGTGTGTGGGCATCCATGTTGCCTAGTAACGAACGAACATGCTTGCAGTGCAGCTGGATCACGTAATTTACACTGAAACAATAACATTCCAAAGGTGCATTCAAGCCATATGCTTTCAGATGGAGCAGCATTTACTACACAGAGCCGTAGTTCACTGACAAGCTACGCAAAATCGCGTTCATAATCGCAGACGATTTAATTGCGCGATTATGAAATAGAAGAAATCGCTCTGCGGCTATGAAAGCTGTTTGCGTAGCTTGTCAGTGAACTTCGGCTCTGTGTAGTAAATGCTGCTCCATCTGAAAGCACGTGAAAATACCAAATTTAATAAAGTTTTTACTCCAAACTCACTTCATAACGTAAGTCGAGTGTTTGTAATAAATCCTTCTGTGAGATGATGTGGCTTCTTACACAAAACAAGGCACGCAACATATTTCATAGTATTCTAAGCAGTGATAAAGGCTATGTCGATTAGCATTGTATTTTTATATACTTTATTATAATAAGATGAACTCAGATAAACCATATATTGTCGTAGTCGTGTGTTTATTAGTCACATTGAATTAATGAAAGCAGTTGAATCTTCTGTTTATTCAGCTGCATCAATAGGCATTTTCTGGGTTTCTTCTGCAAGGCGTATTTGGAGTTTCCACGCGAGAGCGCCCTCTGGCCTTCGGATGGAGATTTACTACTGATCACAGAACCGTGCTTCACTGAAAGATACGCATGAAAATCGCAGCTTCTGCGTAATCGCGATTTATCGCCTTTGCGATTTAATTTCGATTTATCGTGCAGCCCTACGTGACATCAGTGGTTCCACTGTAATTTTATGAAGCTACGAGAATACTTTTTGTATGCAAAGAAAACAAAAATAACGACATTATTCAACAATTCTTCTCCCTCGAGTTACCGTCTTCTGCCATTATCAAGAGACGTTTCTGGGCATGGGAACGTTTCAGTTGCATTGATGTCTATGCAGGGTCAGAAAGCTCTCGGATTTCATCAAAAATATCTTAATTTGTGTTCTGATGATGAACGGAGGTCTTATGGGTTTGGAACGACATGAGGGTGAGTAATTAATGACAGAATTTTCATTTTTGGGGGAACTAACCCTTTCATTGTTGTCACAGGAATCTCTGGGTTCCTTCAGATGCAGACTTTTACAAGAAAGGTCTTCCAGGAACCACTTAAATGTTTACAGATCTTACAGTAACCCCTTTTTAAAATAAATAAATTGTGTTCTTCCAGTAACCCCCAAAGCACTCCAAGGTCTCAGTGTAATGAAATGGTGACTCCATAATCTCAGAACTGGAAACAAAATGCTTCAAACTTTTGTTCCCATGAGTTGCTGAAAGAACTTCGAAGACTGTAATGGTTTCTCCAGGAACCCTATTATGAGAAAAAGAACGACATTAAAATACATTTTGAAGTTCCTTGAGTACTCAAAGGGATATTTAAGGCACCTTTAGTTTTTACAGTGTATGGAGAGTCCCCGTAAACCATAAAAACCAATGTGTGTGTGTGTGAGAGAGAGAGAGAGAGAGAGAGAGAGAGCACATTTCAGCTTATGAATGGTGTTTTGTGTTGTAAGTGTTTGTTGCACATTTTGATGC